TATGTATGTATGTATGTATATATGTATTGTGCTACACTGTGGAATTCAGTCGATTCAGAATCTTCTGATTCATAAACTCTCTGGTATCTGGTGTGGTATTGGAAGTTCTTTGACTTCCTGTGATTTCTTTTCTTGCTCGTCAGTGGCTATCTTCCTTTCTTCCATGGATGACTGCTCCAATTCATTCTTTCTTCACACTATGGATAACCCTTGTCTGAACCCGGTTTTTTCTTAACAACCAGTGACCATTGCTACTAATTGTTCTGTGCCATGAAAATTGCTTCAGTTGAGAAAGCAGATAGTTTTGCGGATGGCACACAGTCAACGGAGGAGATGGTTCTGGTGCTTTGCTGCTTCTGGAATGACAGAGTAACTAAAGTGTCCTTTTCTTTTTGCTCCCAATTTTGTCTCCTAGTAAGTTAATGCGTCTGCAATTGCATTGGACCTTAAGCACACTTTTATCAACATAATGGACGTCGTGTTTTTCAGTTGACGGAGTTGATTATCTACTCTCAGGGGTAACTCAATGTGAGTCATTATTGTAAGACTGAGAGGGTATATGGGAAGAGCTGGGTGAGTATTCTGTGAAGGTGTGAAATCTCTCCTTGAATACATTCACATTGATGTGTCACGGGCTTCCTCATCGGCCTTTGTCACGCTTTCTCCCAAGTCAGAGGTTAGATTATACCAATGACAGCATCCAAACGTTAGGCTTACGTCATGGTTGTGGGAAAATTAATGGAAATAAACGAGCCACTATACTGAAGAAAAGAAGGTAACGTAGTTCTCATTCATGATTTCCACTATACCTATTTAAAAGACCAAAGGTAATTATACTGAAATCCAAGGTTAGACACATCCTACAGGTAAATGAAAAAGAAAATTTGAAATAGGTCTCTTCTAATAGTAGTTGTTCAGTCATGGCCTAGAGGATGTCTGTTTAGGCTTGGGAAGGCCAATGTGGCCTGGAGTGTCATGAGTTGCTCTCTTTGGGCTGCTAATTGGATCCCATACTTTCCATTAACTAGATTTTCTACCTGATTATTCAGTAAGAAAACAAAGGGAACTTGGTTCCCTGACTGCTCAACCTGAAGCACTACTTGCATACGCAGTGCCAACTTCTGCTGCACAACCCAGGACAAACTTCTCCTGCTGAAAATAAGAACACAAAAAGGATGGATTTCTTTGTGCTCACTGTGGGATCTTTTGTTGGGTAGGGGGTGGGGACTCCAACCTGTTCTTATGCACTTGTTTTCATTCACTTTGGCTTTGCATGGTTGAGTTGATGTGGATAGTTTTCAAGTTCCTTTTATTTCCCACCATCTCTACCAAGCATCCCTTGAGTTGTGTCATTTTGATTTGGTGGCTTAAACATGATATAGTTTGAATATCTGCCTGGTGTTGAATTTTTTATTAAGTTTTTTGCTTAACCTTGTTGAAGAATAATCAATACTACGAGTTACGATGATACAATGTATATGTGTGGTGGGTCTTTTACTGTTTTATTTAAATTAATTTTGTATGTTCATATTATGAATGGGTTGCTTTTACTAGTGTGTGTGATTGAAGTTTCTTGTTGGCTCGTTGTTTCTTTTTCACTACTCATAGTGACAGAAATTTCTCATATTGTCATCTTGGATTTAGGATTTAATGAGAAATTTCTCATAATGTTCGAGTTATTTGTAATCTGTGGACGACCTTTTTACAGTTGTGGTTGTGTAGGAGTTTTCATTTTTTTAATGGATTTTTACACGTTAGATCTCTGTCTCTTTTTGTGATTGACAAATGTTGTTTCCTTTTGATTTCTTTTTTGTCTGATTTACATTAATTTTGTGCAGGAATATCTTCAAGGAAACCCATTGTGGCTTCAATACATTAAGGTCCCTTTGATAACTTTGGGATATGAAAGTAGTTATGATGTTTTTGTCAAAGCTGAGGGTGGTGGCTTGTCTGGTCAGGCACAGGCAATTTCTCTTGGCATTGCCCGTGCCTTGCTGAAGGTGAGCGAAGATCATAGATCACCATTGAGACAGGAAGGACTTCTTACCAGAGATTCCAGAGTGGTTGAGAGGAAGAAAGTTGGTTTGAAGAAAGCTCGTAAAGCCCCTCAATATTCCAAACGTTGAGGTTGGGATTCTACATGTATGGTTTGTATTTTTCTGTCCTCCTGGTGTCTCTGGAATTGGATTATATTGGAAACAACTATTTGTTTTTATTTGTTGTTGTAGATTTTCGTTAGAGAAAGTAAAGAGAGATTGAGAAGTATCCCAAGGCGTGTAATGTATTCAGAATCTTGCCATCCGTTTCCCCATCCCTTGTTTCCTTGATCTGTATGGAATTGGAATTGTAGGTATGATGATATTTCTCTTTCACCCCCAACCAAACTAGTGGTTTACTACCATAGTGCAGGTTTCTTTTCCTGACCTAAATTGTGGTACTTATCCTTAATTTCTTATGCCTATTTGTTCCTTCATTTGGCATATTGAGATAAATAATGACCTGTGAAATTTCTTAGTGTATCAATTTGTTCATCGTTTGTCAGAGGTAGACATAAACTTTGATTGGTTGTGCCTCTAGACATCATGCTGTCACAAGAACAACTCTTGTACAGAAATTCTTGATAAAATAACACCAAAGAAAAAATGGATGTGCAACAATTTAGTTTCCATGCCAATCGCCTCCAGTATTCTTGTTATCTATGCCAAGCCTATCAGTCTATTATCTCTCTATAGATATAGTGAAGATGTTACATTTGTTTCTATTGAGAATAATTCTAAATCCTTCAATTTTTCTTTTTAATTTATATTTTGAATTTTTTTATATTTTAAAAACGTTATATATACACACACACATACACATATTACCTCGTTTAACTTTTTCTTTATAGATTTATAAGAATATATGATATTAATCTTGTACCAAATAACAAATAGTTTTAAATGTAAGCACTATATTCTTCTATTGATTCTTGTTTTTTTCTATGATCGGCAAATACTTATGCATTCAAAATATTAAGAGAAAAATATGCCAGACAGTCTAAACTGTTATCACATTCTTATTCGATTAAATTTAAAATATGTTTAGATTGTTATTTTTTTATAATAACTAAAAATAATATAAAATAGATTGACATTTTAAAAGAAGAAACGTACAACTCGATAGGGGAAGCATGCCATTTTAAATTAATAGGGTTTTTCTAAAGAATATTAAAATCAACTTATTTAAAAACATCGAATTCAATTTAAATGTGTCTCTAAATTAATTGGATCCACAAGTTCATATATATATATATATATATATATATATATATATATATAATTCGTAAGAACTGCTAAAATACGTAGAGTATTTTACCCATACTATTCAACCTATTGTACTAGCCTCTTTAAGTTTTTACATTGAAATGTATTTTACAAAAGATAAATTTCTTTGGATGATAACCAAAGGGATAATAAATAAAGTACTTTACTGTACCAAGGTGAGTAAACATGCAAAACAAAAAAAATGTTATTTTATTGTTAATTTAAATAAAAAATGTAGTACCTAAGTAACTTAAAGGTGGTATATTTAATTTTCTTATAGAAGCAAAAAATTAAAAAAGAAAATGAGAAAGTTTTTCATTCATAGGACTGAACATTATTTAAGTTTTTTTTTTTTTGAAAAAAATAAATAAAAATTGTTCGTACGCGAGAGGTACCAATAGAACGGGACCTTGGAAGGGAATCTGGGCAGTTCTTAGGTCGTTAAATCTATTCTGCATTATCAACCTCGTTCCCTGTTTCAATTTCCCTCTTTCCCTCTCGCAACCGCGTCACGCCACGTCTTCCGTAATGTTCCAGAACAAGAGTGTTTCGATCTCCTTGTCGGATGAGGAATCCGACGAGCTGGGTCGGATGCGGGTCCGCGCGCGACGGAAGCGCAAGAAACTCGGCAACAGAAGATTGCTCCGGAAGCTATTCGTCAGATACTGGATGCTGCTCGTCATTGTTCCAGCTGCGGGATTGTTCATATTCGAGGCCACCAGAATTGGGCGAAGCTTGAATGGTTTAAACACGAACAGCCGCATAGAAACACGCACTCACAGAATAGATGGATCTAGTCCCACATTGCGGAAGGCCCCCACCAACTTGAATCGCCTCGATCCTACCACACATGTTGTGGCTGGCATCAGAGAGCGTGAGTACCTTTCTCTCTCTATTTTCATATTAGTGATGATTGTCGTAAGACTCCACTTGTGGGTAATTGTTTCATGAGATTGTCAAAAAATATCGAGAGCTGTGCGATTGACTTTGTCTGATAAGTGCTTAAAGAGGGAATTGTTGTGTGTATACAATAGAAATGTCTGACTCTTGTGGAATTAATGGCTCAATTACAAGTGATATTAATTGGTAAATAGATTTTATTACAAGTGCTTAGCAGGTCATCAGGGTTACTGAAATGTTTTATGGTGACAAATTGTGCACACGTGGTTAAGAGTAAATGAATGAGTATATTTATCAACTTGTACTTGTTGTGACACTAATGATTGAATATGCTTTCGCTAATGCTTGGTACTTAATAGTGTTGTGTATATTGAAATGTGGTACTTAACTGTCTCTTAAAAGTGGTTAATTGTCAGGGTGGATGTTGGGGGTGGATAATTCTCAGTTGAGATGGTAATTTTTTTCATTTCAAGATGCATAGGATGGGGTTTTGATGTTTGATTTGATCCCTAACAGGTTGCTTGAAGCTCCTACCTCCTGAAAAGCTTGAGCAGCTGGATATACCTGTGGAACAAGAATCTTCTAGAATTCCTGTTGGTGAAGTTTTATACATGTCAGAGAGTGATAGGTCTTTTGTAGGTGCGAATGTTACGTTGTCTCAATTGCGTACAGAGGACACACGGTTTAATTTATTTACTGGAAATCAAACATTTGAGGAGAGAGATAGAAGTTTTGAGGTAATGAGATGGTTTTTGTTCTCATTTTTAGCTACTTTTTTTTCTTGGGGGTAGTTATATGGTTACTCTAGCCTTTGTTTCTTCGTGTAGGTGAAAGAAACTATGACGGTACATTGTGGGTTTTTCAGTGTGAATGGTGGGTTTAAGATATCTGATCAAGATAAAAGTTACATGCAAGGTTGCAAAGTCGTGGTATCTACTTGTGCATTTGGTGGTGGAGATGATCTCTATCAGCCAATTGGAATGTCTGAGGCTTCGCTTAAGAAGGTTATTTAAGCAGTATAAGAGTTTGTTATTGATACGTCCAGAAGTCTCTGATCTTATTTGCCAAATCTATTTAGTGGTATGCAGGTTTGCTATGTTGCATTCTGGGATGAAATCACCGTCAAAGCGCAGGAGTTGGTGGAGCGTAGAATCGGGGAAAATGGCTTTATTGGAAATTGGCGTGTTGTTGTTGTTCGAGATCTTCCTTTTGCCGATCAAAGGTTGAATGGTAAAATTCCCAAGGTATTAAATCTTTGAAGCCTGGTGTCTTCTTTTTTATGACATTTGCTATGTCTTTATAGCAGTGCATAATTAACACGTGGCTCCAGTCAGTTGTGTGTCCTGCCCCTTTTGAAGATTCTTATTTTGTCCATACACTGCTATGTAATTGCATACTCATAATGATTGTTGTCCTTCAGCAACTCTATCAATCGACACATGCCTTTACCAGATCGATGTAAATTTTGTGTTTAATTGAATTGAAAAGCTTGTATAATCCATATATTTTTTAGTTTAGGTTATCATCCTCTTGTAAGATTTTCCTTTGTTCACTTTTTGAACCATGTGTGCACTTGGAACTCTTTCAGATGTTAAGTCATCGCCTTTTTCCTCAAGCTAAATACTCAATTTGGGTAGACTCTAAGTCCCAATTCCGGAGAGACCCACTAGGTGTGTTGGAAACACTTCTTTGGCGCCCAAAATCTTTGCTTGCCATATCAGAACATGGAGCTCGCAGTAGTGTCTACGATGAGGCTAAGGCTGTTGTCAAGAAGAACAAAGCCAAGCCAGAGGAAGTTGAAGTGCAACTGAATCAATACAGAAAAGATGGCTTGCCAGAAGACAAGAGATTTAATGGGAAAAAAGGTATGCACTGATCATATTTTTATTATCTAAAAGTTAAGTAAATTTTACATCTTTCTTCTTTTCCTCTATTAAAAAAAATCCATGTTTTATTTCATTTAAGATCTTGCTATGTGTCAAATTGTCAATAGATTTCAATCCTCTCATTCAGTCTGTTGCCAAACTTTGGCTTACATTGGATTGTACCTCCACCTTTGCCCATACATTTTGTAAAATCTTCCTTTAAACTTGTGCACTGCAGCTCTATGCGAAGCCTCTGTTATCATCAGGAAGCATACACCCCTAACTAATCTATTGATGTGCGTCTGGTTTAATGAGGTGGTTCGCTTCACTTCTAGGGATCAGCTCAGCTTCCCTTATGTCCTGTGGAGGCTGAAAGCATTCCAAAACATCAATACTTTTCCAGTTTGTACTCGCAAAGATCTTGTCAATAGTATGGGCCATGTCCGCAAGGCCAAACCTTTGCAAGGCTGATTTAGTTAAATTGGTTGAGAGCAATGGCTACCTACATTTATCTATTTCATTCCTTATTTCAGTAGTTTCTTTAGCCAATCTGAATCAGGTATGTGTTGTTTTTCTAACTTCACCCCCTCTTCTCTCTAGTCAGTGAATGATTATAATTTGTATTTAATTGTTTATTGTGAGCTCTGTGATTAGGTTATTTCAGAAAGAATATAGTGATAGAAAGAGAAATCAAACAAATAATAGATTTTTCTTCGAACATGTTTCCCAACACAAATTTCTATAATAAAATCGATCTTTTCCTGAATCGTGAAATAATGCTGCCCTATCCTATGGGGTTGGTGGCATAGATATTTTCTGTCAGACATGTAGCGATTATTCCAGTTAACCGGAGCAGAACTTCGAATCACTGATGCAACAGATACGTATATTCAACTTGATGATGATTGTGTTGTGACACCTGTGAAACTTGTGTTCAGTAGTTTCTGAGGAAAGGGGTTAGATTAAGTTGCAGGATGTTAATTTTAGTTGTCATTCGGTTTTAACTTCAATGTTTTCTTAAACTATTCTAGGAATAATAAGCCTCACAAAAGCTTAAGAAAATGAGAGGAGTTGCATAATGAAACGTGTCTTTTAAGGCTTTGTTTGTTTCTGGGGATGACACGGTTAACACCGAATTGTGAGGATGGATATACGAGTATGTTTTGTATGTTTGTTTTGCTGATTTGTGCCAACTTGAAGGAACAGGTTTGCTGAAGGAAGCTAAATATCATCCGTGCATGAATGCTGAGATATGCGAAGATGTACTATCGATGAAGGGGAGAAAGATAAAAATGACGTTCATTTTAATGGAAACTAAACACGTCTATGTATGTGATTCATTTTTAAATTACATAAATATTAGATATTATACATAGATCATTCTGATAAATTATCTTTATGTAAGTGATATCTAGAGATGATAAATTATGAATATACTAGGTATACGAATATACTCAAATGTATATTATAGAAATGCATCTTAAAAGACCTAAGGACAAAATCTAAACACGTGCTTCCATATTTTATTTACAAATATATATATATATATATATATATGGGGTTTGCTAACGTGCGTACGTCTGTTTTTCAGTTGGTACACTCGGGTTTTAGTAGACAAAAATATCTTTATATATCATGGATTATAAGTTTTAAGGTTAAGGATATTTTAATAATTTTCATTCTCAAAACTAAAAAAAAAAAGAAACCCCTCAAACCCTTACTCACCTCTCTCATTCCTCTCAACCCTTTTTTTTTCATCTTTCTCACTCCAATCTTTTCTCTGTCATCCTTACTGTAATTCCAATTGAAAAAATCAGAAACACTTGTCGTTAAACAATTTTACAAAAAAATGATTTTATAATGAGTTTTCATCTTATAATTTTTGTTTTATCTAATTTTATCCAATTTTCACAAGCATAAAGGAATTGGTAATTGACTTGGAAAAAATCAGAAATACTCGCTTTTAAACAATTTCTTACAAAAAAATGATTTTATAATGAGCTTTTATTTTATAATTTTTGTCTTATCTAATTTTCACAAGAATAATGACATCAAAGGAATTGGTAATTGACCTGGAAAAAATCAGAAACACTCGTTGTTAAATAATTTCTTACAAAAAATGACTTTATAATGAGTTTTCATTTTATAATTTTTGTTGTATATAATTTTATCTAATTTTCACAAGCATAATGACATCCGAAAGAATTGGTAATTGGCCTAGAGGGTTTTTTTTAGAGATGATGATTCAAAGAGATCTTGAATGAACTTTTGCCTGAAGGTGAATACGTCAATGACTCAGCTATTTACAAAGCCAAATTGTTTAAAGGCAAGTGTTTCTGATTTTTTTCAATTGGAGCTACAGTGGGATGACAGAGAAAAGGTTGGAGTGAGAGAGATGAAAGATAAAGGATTGAGAGGAATGAGAGAGGTGAGGAAGGGTTTGGGTTTTTTTTTTTTTTTTTAAGTTTTGAGAATGAAAATTTTTAAAATACCCTTAACCTTAAAACTTAGAATCCATATATATAAGGGTATTTACCAACTGAAAAACAGCGTACGCGCGTTAGCAA